CAAAGGGTTGGACATGACTGAGTAAGCACACACATTCTTCAGGATAGATGTGTATTAAAAACAGGGGGAACTGTTGCAGGTGACTCCATGCTCAAAACTTGAGAGGATGATGGGGGAACTTTTTGTTGTTGCTGTTGAATGAAGTGTTGCATTCATTTGTACTACCAACGGAATATTTAGAGGAGGATGTTTGCTGTTATAACACCTTGTGAATCAAACAGACTTGAATGAATTCTGGCTTCGCAACTTACTATGTTTCTATTGGGCTTCCCTGGTGGCTCACATGGTAAAGAATCTGCCTGCAATGTGGGAGACCTGGGTTCAATCCTTGGCTTGGGAAGCTGCCCTGGAGAAGGGAACAGCTACCCACTGCAGTATTCTGGCTTGGAGAATTACATGTTTCTATTAATAATCTTGACCAAGAAAACTTAGTTAATCTCTTTTCTCTTCATGTAAAATGGGTTTCTTCACATGTAAAATGGGTTTAATAGTTTACTTCCTAGCTGTAAGAATGAAGATATAAATAAAAGGAATGCTATATGAAGCATCTAGCACAGTGAATTACTGGTGCTTGATTATTCAGTAGCTATTAGTATGGATGAATGAACTGTTGAAAATATGCCACAACTTCTTGATAGGGATTGGGGACGGTTAGGAGGATTTGTGAGTCATGCAGAAAGTTGTTAGTGGAAGTTCTGGAAACAAGAGTTTTTTATAAGAAGATAGCATGGAATATTAGGGGAATAACACTTAGCCTGGAGGAACCACTTGCATGTATTGGTTGTGAGGAGGAAGAAAGATGGAGGACACATATTCAGAGTTGTATCAGGACCACATCCATTTACTACAAAGCTCATCTGTTGTCATCTCTTTGTACTTTTCTACCCATTTTGCATAGTAAAGTTGTAATGTATTGTGATTTTTGAAGTCTAATTATTTAGCCTGTGAAATAATACATAAACATCTGTTTTGGTGTTGAGTTCACTTTTTCACAAGTCTATCAGTTCTTTTTTGGATGTCTTTGATTATTAGAATGTTTTTCTTTGTATCCCAAACTCACTATCTCTTCAAGTTTTGTACCATATTTAACTCCTTCCCATATTAGTGGATTATACTTTTATATTAGCAGCCACTAGAAACCCTGGTTTTTCTTCTTTCAAAGCTCCTTCTCTCTCCTAGTACAGAAAGACTTTCATTGCAGCCAATGTAAAGAATATAATTATTTTTCATATTACTATTGTATCTTCACATGGCTTTTAATTCACGTCTATCAAACTTAATACTTTAAAACCATAGCCAGAAACTCAAACGAGGAAATAGAAAAGTAAGTTTGAAAAATGATTAACACACATTGATGTATTTCACTTATTTTGATGTCTGTACCATATCATTTAGCTCCGGAATGGGGCTCCCAAATTTATTGAAGTTATAACCCATATACTTGCCTCATTTCATAATATTAATACCATCTACTCATGTCCTCCTATAATCTGTCAACCATAAGTATCTTAGTAACAGAGAAATAAATTTGTCAGTAATTCACTATACTTAATTATGTTTGGAGATACATGAGGATACACAGAATCAGAGCTGAGAATCATTTTTCCTAGAGCTCTAAGACCACACCACATCTGCCCTTGAAAAGAACATGGTACAATTCAATAAATGGGTACAGTTTTTAAGCATAATATGCATTAGAAAAGGTAGAAAGTAATGAAGAAATGATCCAAATCAGCTTGAGAAAAGACTAAGGATAAAAAGGATTATTCATATGAGAGGCATGTTGTCCGGTTGCTGTTAATAGGTATACAAGTACTGGGGTTGGACTGATATAGCTAAAACCTATCTGTTATTAAGAAAAATGTTACATGTAAACTGGGAATTACACAGCCAGCTTCATTACATTACTATTCAGCAGCTTCCACAAAAACCTAAATTAACACTTATGTGAGGAATCTATTGAAATCATTCATTGCATTAAAAAAAATCAACAGATTATGTAGGTCTTATTATGAATAGTTAGTGATAATTTTGTTTTTCTTTTGACAGTTATATAAAAGAATAATGTACAGAGCAGATGTCATTTCCCCGTCACCATCTTTTACTGTTCTGCATAGTGTTGCCTTTCTTGTTCTTTTTGTGGGAATTTTCCATCCATAACAAACAGTCCTAATGAGATAATTCAGAAAATTCACGATTTTCTAACTAGAATATTACTCTTAGACTAGGTCCATTTATCAATATTTTGTTGGCATTGTTGTTTATAAAACACGTTTATTGCCAAAAGTTTAGGAAATTAAAGAGTAAATGGGAAAATATATATTATAGTCTTTATTGCCCTTTAACCGTTGTTAGTGGTTGTACATAGCTTTCTGTGTTTTCTATATATACATATTTTTACAAAAGCAAAATTGAATTGCATTAGCTACATTTAAACTTTTCTACACAAATTTTACATCCCATGCTAATAGACATTTGCATAATGTACAGTTTTTGTTTGGTTTAAATGCCACTGCAACATATATGTTGCACAGTTATCTCTATGCTTTTATCTGGTCATTTCCTTTTGGCAGTGAAAGTAGAATTTGAGAGCCAAAGATAAATATATGAGTCGCTTTTGTTTAAAAGACTGCTAATCGAATGTCAGTGAGTGTGGTAAGGTTGATTAAAAAGTAATAAAGTCATATAATTTTCTGCAATTAAATAACATTAATTCAGCTATAAAATTTAAGGCTTCCCAGGTGGTACAGTGGGAAACATTCCACCTGCCAGAGAGACACAGGTTCGAGCCCTAGGTCGGGAAGATTGCCTGGAGAAGGAAATGGCAACCCACTCCAGTATTCTGGCCTGGAATATCCCATGGAGAGAGGAGCCTGGTGGGCTACAGTCCATGGGGTCACAAAGAGTTGGACATGGTTGAGTGACTGAGCATACACACAAAATTTAAATCTAACCAAATTATTACTTTGTCATCAAAAATCAATTTCACTTTCTCATGGAGAAACAATTCTGTTTTTTGGAATTGTGTAGTCAAAAAGAGCATAGAGAAATTGTGAAAGAGTAGGATGAATTGAATTACACTAAATGTTACGCTGGAAAACCCAATCAAGCCCTAAGAATTTTCAACTAGTGACATGATTATGTCATAGAATAAAATGAAGAGAAATTGGTAGATAGAAATCAGTGTGTAATTCGTTGTCTAGAGTAGATAGGCTGAAAGAAGGTTACAGTAATATTGACTGCTTTATTATCATTAACAATTATCTAAATGAATAAAATAAATGATAAAATGTGGTTATCATTAATAAGTTGTTCATAAACTCTTTGTATAAACAGTATGTTTTCTCCCTCCAAACCTAGTATTCAAAAATCTGCTCGCTTATTTGTTTGGCAAGCAAAATTAATAATTGAATTTGAACTAACTTCGCTTTGATCTTGGCTCATAGAAATGGCTGTAGGGACCCTTCTTAGCCATCAGAAGAATCAGAATCAGCATACCTAATAATCTTCACTTATATATATAATGGGAGATATTTGACCAATATCATTGCTGTAGCTGATCCACTTAAAGTGATTTTTTAAAAAAATTGACAGCCTGTTATTCATATTAGGCAAGTATCATAGGGATCATTTTGATTCCTGTCTGAGACCCTGAGGTTTTAAGCATTATAATGTCTTGCTTCCTTTTTGTCCTACGTCTTTCTCTTCACCATCGCTCAGTTTATCTAGAGTAGAGACTGTAGTTTAAATGAATGGTCTGTCATATAAACTAAAGTCTCCCATTATCCTTCAGTGGCTGTGGTCCAGAGTACCTCTTTCATCATAGTCTCTGGGATCTGTGCTAATTTGGATGAAAGTGCTCATTCTTTACAGCTTGAGCATTATTTCCCAGGCAAAAACATGGTGAATAGGCACAGGTACCCATTCCCTTTCATTTGGGTGCCTAGGAAGAAACTAGATCATGTTCAGACCATTGGCTAAATGTTGCTTGCAATCCAGGGTAAATTTTGACCCACTGTATTTATATAACACATTTATATAATTTATGTAGCATAAATTTCTAATCCATTAGAGTTGAATAAATGGGTGTCTCTTTTAAGTGTGAAATATATTTTTTAAACCTTGGAATAATAGATGTTTTTAATGTGTTTCTTTAAAGAATACTTCTAGGATTTCAAATAACTGCATAACCAGTATGTCTTAAAAGCAAATTAACAAATATTCAATAATGTAAAAGAATGATAAGTAATGTAACATGGATAACAGTTGAGCCAGGTTTTTGGACGTTTATCAAGTACTTCTGTTTAATTATACAATATGTTTGGGGTGATATTCACATATCACATAATGGCTTCATTAAATTTAGCTTATTTTAAATTTATAGAGTCTTTTGGAACACATTTTCAATAGCTGCTGCATTCGAGTAGCATTACCTTGTCATTTCTTACTCTATATTGTGGTTAAAGGTTTATTTTATCAATCCTGTCTTGTCGCCTTGGTGTGTCCGTACCAGCTACTGGTAGTATAATGTCAGTCTCACTTAGGGACACTAGTACCACATATCTCTAAAAGATGGTGATGAGCAAGCATGTGGTTTAATTTGTAAGTTCAGGACATTGCCAAATCTTTGTTTCAGGCATGCGGATTCTTAAATTGTAAGTTGTGAACAAAGCTTGGATCTACACCTTGTGCAGCATTAATAATGCCATAATTTCTTTTAATTCTAAATTACTCTATTGGTTGGATACCATCTTAGTCTCTGCTTTGACTTGTAAATGTCCATTGTTATCTCATAATGATATGGACTCTAATGCGATAACATGGTTAGTCAATTCAAAAATAAAGTATCTTTTTGAGTTTATATCTCCTGAAAATTGATAGGGTGGTACACCAATTATGTGGTTTTCTTTTTTTTCTTACTAATCTTATTAAAGGGGGAGAACATTAAATCTTTGAATACTGTACCTCAATTTTATTGTAATGATTTTGCTGGTTACCAGGTGGGGTGGCAGTTGAAAAATTTGGTGAATGCACTACGAGAGGACCCGAGTGGTGTTATCTTAACTTTGAAAAAGCGACCTCAGAGCATGCTTACCTCAGCACCAGCTTTACTGAAAAATATGAGATGGAAGCCCCTTGCTCTGCAGGTAATGAAGCTTAATCATAAGTCATACACCATCATTTTAGCCATAGATTATCTCAGTAATGCTTCTTTATTGTGCCTCATCTCAGCAGCATATGGATTAATCTTGTATGCTTTTGAAAATTTGTTTGTGAAATGATCTCTTCACAGCTGATCCTAATAGGCTTAATTGTGATGAAATTTCAAAGTCACTATAACTAAAATCAAATTATAAAGAACCCTGCCTTAATTTTTAAACATTTTAAAGCATAATTCCAAAGAAAAGCACAAGTTATTTGAAGCCAAAATGTGGATAGAAATGAAAGTGAGAGGTTTCATTTTGTGATATAATCTTCAACTTAAAAATTATATCCATATATACTTCTTGAAGAAACTAGATAATAGTTTATAGAATTCTTTTAAATCAGCTCATGAGATAAGAATAGTTGTTTTTGAACAGTAGGTAGAGAAAGTTTTAGATAGTAATTAAAATGTACCTATTACATTCTTCCTGATGGATCATTTTTTCTTCTTTCCACCATGTACAAAGCAAAAACAGGGAAATTGTTACATTAGAAATTCTGCATTTTTCTTCAGCATAAAACATCACTCTAAAATGTTACTCTGGATGTTGGTAAATTATCAAATTATTAATTATAATTAATAATTATTATTAATTATTATCAAATTATCAATTATTAAACATATTTGTAATGTTTAAACACATCATAGAGGAAAATTTTACTCTTCACAAGACTTGCACTTTTAAAATAGAAGACCGTTACCTTTCATAGAAGTTTAATTTTAAAAATTAAAGTTGCCCATTGAAATAGAACATTTCCTGTTGTTCAGATTAAAAAGAAAAGCAATAAATGAAAATGCCATTGTTATCACTGCTATTAAGTTCTATATTAGTACCTTACACCAGTCTTGATTTTTTTTTTCCCTGAAATTCTCAGTTCTTCATTACACATGAATGGCCTTATAGATTATAATGATTTCTCATTGTTTAAAACTTTCCTACTTCTTGGCCTCAAAGTTGCATTATGCTTAAATAACATAAAAATATAAAAAGAACGTTAAGTTCTTTAAATTTTTAATGTGAATCTATTTTTTCAAATAAAGATGTATAAAACTATATTTTAAAACTACATTAATATGTCCAAATGCACTTGACTTGCAGTATATGTTTATTATCAAAGATTTTTGATGATCATTGAAGTTCAGAGACCAGTATTTGACTCATTAATTCATAGATTAGCAAATCAGACCTTCCCATCACATCATTTTATTTTCTAACTACGTTGTAAATTGCTTTGTTGTTCCACCCTGTAGTTTTCTATTGACATGTCTTCCCCAAAGATCCTTCTTCAGAGCCTGTAAGGTGGGAACCCTGAAGAAGAGACCCTGACAGCCATTAAGTTTCCTTCTCTATATGTGTGGTTAAATTTCACAGCTTCTCTATAGCCCCTTCTGCTTCACAGTGAACAACAAAAAGACACTAATTTCTTGTTGATCCATGAACTCTATTTGAGGGAATATCTCTAGAAAATAAATTGATGATTTGATCCCCTTTTAGATTCTTTTCCACAAGCACAAACTGGAGAATTAAGCTAATGACAATATCTAGTTAAGAATCGCTTTTATAGAAAATTCTGAAATAATCAAAAGACCTTTTTTTTTCTTTGCTACACATACATTTGGTGTGTGTGTTTAAAACTAGAGAACAAAGACTTTAATTTTTTAAATTGCTCTACATCATTCCTTAATTATAATAGATACTTAAGACACTGTTTCTAGGTTCATTCCTAAATGCCAAGAAATGTGCCTCATCAGATCACTAATTATATTTATTCCTTATTTCCTATTTAATTACTCTGAGTATGCTTGTAAATTTACTTTTTCAGAATGCTGAATTCAGAAAAAAGAAAATCAGTATTTACATAAGTGCTTATATGTATTGACATTTTTATAAATTTGTTACTTCACCTGAATTAGTTCACCTAAAATGTATTGTCCAAGCTTGACTTTTTATAGATAAACAATACTATTAATGGGTTGGAGGAAGCAAGGAGGGACCCTGCTTTCAACTTTGAAAATTGACTTTATGGAGCAGAAGAAAGAGTAGGAGTTTTAAGTAAATACTTACAGGTGGTGGTAAAACAAAGTCTTAGGAGTAAGGGCAATGGATTAGTCCTGTAACATAGCACACCACCACCAAATCTCCCTAAAGTTTATTTTGAAGACCTGAAATTGTACCATTACAGAGTTTCATTTTGATCTTAAGGTTTTGGCTTGTGCTAAAATGCAGAAAGACACCAGAAGCATAGTGGAAACTATCTGGTCAGGATTTTAAGAGAATGAACACAACCAAAGATGGACAAAGCTTGAGGTTTCCAGGATCTGGAGGTTGTAAGTGGACTGCTTCCAGAAGGGGAAAAATCAAGGAAATAGTGTGATGAGAAAGTCTTACAGGCAGTTCTGGATTCTTTGTGTTGCCTGAGACCACATATTTTTCCTAGTGGCCAAGAAAGGACCTCATGTGTGAAACTTAAGTGCTTAATGTAACAACAGTCCTCTGTGCAGACATAAGTACCGTTCTTACTGTAATCCTGCTTCTGGTATGTTGCAGCCAAAATGCCCATTAACTCACCTGAATACAAATTTTTTATCTTCAAGCCTGAAGAATTGGACATTAAGTTATTTCTTCATAGGATATACCAATAGTCTACTAAGAATTATTTCAAATAGAGTTTACAAAAAGAAACAATCTGTGGCATTTATTTAACCTCAATATGTACATTTCATCTTTTTCTTTTATGATACCAGGCTTAGGGTTTTCAGATAAAGCATAGCAAAGTTTGTGTAGTTTGGAGGTAGACGCTAATACATGCCTCTAATGAAGGGAACAACTTCATTCTAACAAAGGAATAATTATTTTTTAAACTAATACGGAAATAATTTGTACCTGCACAACTAAAATATAACCTTATCTACCTTAAGGTAGAAAATTTTTGAGGAATATACATGTTTTAATAAAAGTCATTTTAGTTCTAAAACGAATAGTAGCTTCTATTATTAATTAACTGCAATGACAAATTTTAATCATCTGGATTTTCTTTTGAAAATCATTCGTGGAATTATAGCCAAATAAGCAAAAGCATACAATTCAACTTCATGCTCACAGAGCAATTTCATTAGTACATTTCATGAAATTTGGCAACTCTTGTTAAATTCCTAATTTCTCAAATGTTTTGTAATAGAACTGAAAGACTTAAAGATATTTTAGTCAAATACTACAAGCAGATTTAATCTGGAATTGAATTTGTTGTCATCTGCACCCATTTATATATAGTAGAGATGTTCTACCTGAGGTAGAATCTTTTATTCTGAGAAAGCGAACTAGCAATTGCTTTCTGAGGACTATTTTTAAAACATGTCCTTAGTAGCACCCTCTACTAATGTCCTGGATTTTGGTAAGCATGGTGGTTGCTTATGGTCAAGTCCTTGAAATTCAGTGAAAAAATCCTGGGGAATTATGGATAAACCTCAGTGTATATTTTTTGATGTTTGTCATCTTAAATTAGCATGCATAGATCACCAGCTTGCACGAATGGTGTTGTTTTCTTCTTACAAGAGATGTATGGGAGAATTAGCTGGACACTGGTGAGAGTATTGATTGAAATCATCACTGGGAATCAACAATTTTAAAAAACATTTAGGAACCCAACTTTTATTTTTTTTTTTTGGTGAAATGCATCTCAAAAATAATCACTAAAATCAATGCTGGAATTCGATTTACTGATACAGGTTTCATTAAACATTTTTAATGTAAAATGATATCAAGCTGTATCATTAGAATTGCTCCTAGACTGTTCTAATCCATAAGTCTTTTATATCAAAGTGATAATTTTTTGTGTGGTTTTTGTGCTTTTCACTTTAAATGTTATTGCTTAGTATTACCTTGATGCCATTTTTACAAGATATTTAAATTAAATACTTTTGAGCAGAGAAAGAAATGGAAAGCAAATAGTCATAGTAGTCAGTTTTGTCTATCAACTGGTGTAATGACTGAAGAACACTGATAATGTTACATTTCAAAATACATAGAAATATGAATGGTTGAAGTCACTGTAAAACTAAAAAAAGCAGCAATAATAAAATTTAAATATCAAAGTTATAGGATGGGGTGACCAAAAAACATTAGAAGCAAAGTTTATATGTTTCTGAGAATTTTGCTTTAAAAGCATGTTTTGAAGGAAGGAAGGTAACTAATATTAGATATGACACTAGAGAAGAAAATAAGTTTTAACTAAAAATGTAATTGTGCTGACTGGGAGGCAGAAACAATTACATGTTTTACATGCTCAAATTAGTAAATAGCTGCAAGCAATTGTCACATCAGATTATTGTTCACCAATGTTTAAGCAAATTAATTAAAGGATCTAAATCACATTTGTGGTTTTCAACCAAATGCTTTCAAAATGTTAACACAGACTACAAATAATCACCTAATATAAAAAATTATTTTTTAGTTTCTCTATTCTTTAGCTTCCTATTCTTTCTTTAGTTAACATCCTAAAAATAATGCGTAGTGTAAGGTGAAAAAATTGGAAGCTCAGTGTTAATGTTGCAGTATTAACTATGCCCATAAGAGTGGACAGCATAAATATCCTAGTGGTAGTTTCAGTAAAGTGTGCAAATTTTGATGATTAATTGAAAAAAGCAATTTTTTGGTGTGACTCTAAAGTGTATATTATTTGTGTATTATATAATCATGTACATAATTTTATGCCCATAGATCTATTTTTAACTTATACAGATACAGCTTCCTGATCAAATCTGTGGTTGAAAAAAAATGTTTTTTCCTTTGTAGTCTGATAAGAAAGGGAAGATTACATGCTTTAAGGAGAAGACTCAAGTCTTTTGTATTTATAAATTTGTATTTTAGAAAAGGCTGAGAAAAAAACTGAGTGGGAGAATTTAGAATACATGTGTTTCTCTTACTTAGACTCTTTTCAAATCATTGAATACTTAAGAAAATCTTACCCAGGAAAAATTATGCCCAATAATTTTCCAAATTAAATCTAATATTCTTTATATGATCAAGAAATTTACAAGATTGTATGCAACTTCTTGCCTCCCAAAATCCAGAATACATTTTCTCTGCAGCATTTCTTTAGATGTCTCAGAGTTGCTAACATAAAACAATATTCTGGTACTTGTATTGGAATTATAATAAAAATGTGTTTGAACTGAATAAGGACTTGTGTGAATGTTCTGTGCTAGAATAATGGGGTATTGTGTTCTAGTTGAGTCTGTACTTATTCCCAAGAGTGAATAAAATTAATGGCCAGGTTTTCTACTTGATGTAATCATTCATATTTCAATGAGTATTTTCCCTCTGGAAGACAAAGCAAACTCTTTGTGATATTTGCATTAGTGAGTTCTGCAGATAACTGCATAATGTGTAATGCACCATTTTCATCTTTTAACATTGGGGCAGTCTTTATGTCATTGATTCCATTCAAGACTTTATATAGCTCTATGAAAGCTGGGTCACTTACCAGATAGAGGGACAACTATATTAAGATATGGTTGCCAGGAGTTGTTAATATGTAAAATGTTTCAAATAAAACCTTTAACATTAAATGTAGTTTTTTAGGTATAGATGCTCTTTTCTCATAGTCTTTAAGGCCATATGATTTTCAGAGGTACATTAATGCCTTCCAGATGTGCTCAGTTACCTTAAGAGATGTTAGAATCCGGGACAAGAGGAAAGGGCCTGAGCCATCAGAGAACTTAAAGTGAGATTTCAGTGATCCCTTACAAAAGCTGAAAATTTTAGTTTATACTAATCACAGCCTCCCAATGATGTTTAACCTGGAGGAGTAGGATCTTTTTACTAAATTCATCACTCATGATTCAGAGGAAGATTCGTGCCGTGCCACATTGTGGGATACAGTTTAAAGGTATTTATAGAGTTCAAACTGACAATATGAGAAATGTATGTGTATGTAATATAATATATTTCTGAGTCCTGTTCATAGTAGTAACATCATTAATTGACTAAGGTTATAAATGTATACTTGAAGAGATGCATATATGATCATTTTATTTAGGATTTGGATATTTCAAAATATGCATGCCTGTGCCCCAAAAAATCTGTCATAGATTTCTTTTAGAAGAGTAAACAGTATGTATGCAAAATATGTCCTTCCTGTTGGAGCCTCATTGAATCTGGAAGGAAAACTTTGTCATTAGAACTATTGAGATATGAAAAATAAATTTTGTGGAAAGGTCCTTCCAGAAAATAAACCCACTTGGATAGAATACAAAATGGATCCAGTCATGCTTGATTGCATACCAAAGTGGATCAAGTTATACTGAAGCTTCATGCTTGCTTGAGTTACAAGATGCGGTCTTAAAATACTCTTGTATTTTATCCATAAGTGATAATAGTTCTTAATTCTCTTCCTATGCAGATTTTCCCAATATAAGAGAAAGAGTCAAAATAGCAAAGTGGTACAATAAAAAAAAATTATCCTTTATTTCTACTTCTTTTCCTTAAATTGGAAATTCCTTATAATACAATGATAAACTACTTTCCTTATACTATTTTATGAAGAAATTATTAAAGTAAATGTTACCAAGGTAGGAAAAACTATCCTTCTGCATTGTTATACTCACATATTTAGGTTTTTGTCTGACCTCAGGCATATGTCTATTAAATTTTGAATTAAATGCAGAGAGAACTTTTTGATTTGAGGGAAGCTGTGTTTTCCACTTTTTTTGTGTATTATGTAGATAGTTACTGGTGGTAGGTGTAATTTTAATGGGATTTGTTACACCTAGGACTTTCTCACTGATAATTTCAACTAATAGCATCATTTATTCTGTGCTTTATTTAGTCACATTTTGCCTATCTTTCTAATGTTCTTTAATGCCATTTTCATTCTTTTGTCATTTATATTTTGTAATGTTTCAATTCTTGTCCTAACTTAGAGCTTTTTAAAGGCATTACAAATTATCACAAATTTCCTTTGGGGTTAAGTAGCTATTTCCATTTTCCCATGAAGATTCTATTTTGCCATACTTTATTTTTCCATTGCTTAATGTCTTCTTTAAAATATGATTCTCAAGAATAATGTTTACTTTTTAGTTTGAATTAGCTTGACAAAAATATACTGAATAAATTTATTATTTATCATGTGTCTTATACTTAGTATAAGGCATACTGATTTAATTAGCCAGATATCTGCATGATAAACCAATTTCAATGTTTTCTATGATTTACCAGTTAATAAAATAACTAGTAAGTAGAGTTAACAGAATCGACTAATTTCTTCTTTCTCTGAAAGAATAAGTTGTTTTTTTCAACGACTTCAATTAATTAACCAGCTGAGACAATCAAACCTGTTATTTGTTTAAGCATATCTGTCTTTTTCTTCTACATTTTTGCTAATTTAACTGTGCTGAGAACATGAATAGCAAATCTGTGCTGAAAATAGAAACCTATAGAAAATATCAATTTGAAGGAAGTTGACACGACTAATATTTAAAGTTCCTGCAAGGAGAAGGATCAAGTACCCTAAATAGACAATCCTTGTAACAGTCCAGGCAGAAGAAAATACTTTTATTGGTCCTTACCTCACACTTCACTTGGAATCACTGACTACTACTCCTCCGTTTTTCCTACCTTCCTTCCTCTTTGTTTGGGGAGGACAGGGATAGATACCAAGAGAAATTATCTTTAGTTCTACAGATGGTAAAATAAAAGGAGAGAAGTCTTCAGGATTAAAGTAGTTAATCCTAGGAACGAAGAAAGAGAATAAAAAATGTTTAGATTATTTTTTTAAATGTTATGTTTTTAGAACTTGTTTTTAAGTTCACTCATAATGTTAAGATAATTTAAAATAAGAGCATATTAGAGCATTTAAAAAGCATACTGAATATTCGTTTTTCTCTCACAGTGCATCTGTTATAAAAAATGTTGGCAAGTAATGTACTGTGTAATGAATGTTTTCTTTACATTTCTATAATTATGAAATTTTGTTTAGATTTGTTGTTTAGTGTCATTTGTATTTAATAATAAGATATCCTGACAGGAAAAAATTATAAACAATCACGTTACAGATCACACTTAACCTAAAGATCCTATCATTCAAAGATCTATTAGAGAGACTTGTAATACATTCTTAGAAAGAATATAATACTTTATTTCCTCAGGCTTCATGGTGTTCATCTGTACAAGTAACTCCTGATTACCTATATAAATTTCAGGATTTCCCATTGCCAAAATTTTTGTTTCTAAAAGACACACATAGTTTAACTTAGTGCTATTCCAAAGTCAGCATATTTAAATGTAAACAGCATAGTCTTTACTGTATGTTTTCAAAATATATCAAAATTCTTTGACATGTAAACTTTCAGACTTTTTTAAATATCATATAAGGTACAATATTCTAGAATCCCCAAATAAATTATCAATTATTTTTCCCTTCTCTCTCTCTTTCTTTAATTTCTATTTCACATAGATTAAAACTTAACCGTCATTTTGGCAGGATGTGTGATTTCAAGCTATTAAGGTGAGCTGTGTAAAAAGGAAGGTCAAAAACCATGAACTGAGCCATAAACTATGTAGCCTACCCCAGGGACCTACATTGTACATTGTATTTATGCTTGGATTTCTGAACAAATTTTGTTTATCTGTACAAAAATATTGTCATAATATAAAATAGTTGTACTATGCCTTTCTTTGAGTGTCCAGCAATACATGTTAAAGTAATAGAACTATGGGTCTATATAAGCTATCCCAAAAGTGTTTTCATACTGGCTAAAGGGCAACATCTTGTCATGGGAAGATGCAGTTCATTTTGTGATCATCATTTTTGTTTGCGATTACATTGAAGTTCTTATTTCTCAATGTTACTGTATATGTAGCTAATCAGTCAGATATCTGTAAGATAAACATGAACATGTGTGAATTTTAGTTTCACTTTAGAGAAATTTCTCAAACCACAATATCATTTCCAAATGCTGTGATGCTTAGAATTGGGAGTGTTCATAAGTTAATGCATCCTGATGTATGGCTTAATTCAGTAAATAGAATATCTTAATTTTTTAAAAACTTTTTTAATAGGTAAATACAGGCATGAAAATAAGATCTATAGGTATACAACTGAAAGTTATTTTAAGCAATGGTAAATGTGTGTGCCTATGACAAGTGAAATGATTGTGTCACACTAATCACCATACTTTTGAAGATGTACCATAAAATGACTTTGAGAAGACAGTATTATTTATATTTATGGAAGAAGTACATTTCCTAGGAAATATTCTCATGTTAGCCTTTCATACTCTATTTTTGTAATGTTTTCTGAGAATCTGTGACTTTTTACTGACTTAGGAGTATAATGCATCTCTTTTGGGAAAAGATCTGAAATAATCTTTCTTGTATAGTCAAGATGTGAGTGAACTTTTGGAAGTTAGTCTTTATTATCTTTCTTTCAAAAGTGGGATTCTAACAAAGCAAATTCAAATAAGTTTCTAACTGTGAGATAGATCTCTCCATTATGAAACACTGCATGATATTATTACCTTACAAATAGCTTTAACTGATTATGCCACACAATAAGGTGAGTTAGGAACTAAATGGAAATCTGTTTGTTTTTGAAGATTCAAAGGAATATCCATGTGCTAAATAACATGCTTCTTGATTTCAGCCAAGTTCAAAAACTTTGTAGAAATAGATCACTTAAAAATGATAACTATGTGTCATTGTTGTTGTTGTTGTTTGTGTGTTGTTTGTGTGCGTATGTATTTTCTTTTTCATTTTAACCAGCCTCTTATACCTAGAAGTCCCACAAGCAGCGTTGCCACGCCCTCCAGCACCATCAGTACACCCACCAAAAGAGACAGTTCTGCCCTTCAGGATCTCTACATCCCCCCTCCTCCTGCAGAGCCATATATTCCCAGGTATCAAACTAACCATCATTTTGTTCTGTGTAGCTTCCAGCTAAAGACTGACCTCAGTGCATGAGAACTGTGAAGTAAATTCTCAAGGAACATCTTTAATATTTTCTCAGTTAAGAATTCTGGGCACATTATGGGAAAAAAAATTACATTCTAGAAACTGGGGGCTTCCCAGGTGGCTCAGTGGTAAAGAATCCGCCTGCCAATGCAGGAGATGCAGGTTCAATCCCTCAGTTGGGATTATCCCCCAGAGGAGGAAGTGGCAACCCACTCCAGTATTCTTGCCTGGGAAATCCCATGGACAGAGGAGCTTGGCAGTCCACGGGGTCACAAAAGAGCTGGACACGACTTAGCAACTAAACAACATAGAGACTTGTACTGTAGTTAGTAATAACAATAACCATGATTTGTATTAAACACTCTACATTAAATATCTTATAAACATTATCTCATATAATAGGAAATAATAGGACACTAATATAGAATAACAATTTAGGATTCTGTTAGTAAGTGAAAAATCATTGAGGCTCTTTGACACAGAAAAGAAATCTCAGGTTACTTTGGAGCATTCCATACTTTTTCTCTAAATAAGAAAGTCCCAGGTAACTTTTATGCCTTCTTAAATGTATGTAATTAGGAAGAGTTTTTTTTTTCTTGGATGATAATGAGGGAGTGTTTTTTCCCCCAATACCTCTGTATCTACAGTTTCCACTTGGTTAGTTCATTAATGTTTCTTTCAGAAAGTAGAAAGAGTTTGCAAGAGAATGAGTTGCTTTTAAAGTCTATTTTCAGATTTCTGGAGGCTGTATCTCTATTTCATGTTCCAAATTCCTATTTGAAATTCCTGGCAGGTGGAAGAATATAATTCTGTGCCATCATGCATTCTGTCCAAAAGCATTCTGGTTTCCAGCCTGCGGAATACAAAAATTATGGGAAAAGGCCAGCACTAAATGGAGATAATTAATACCAATCACAAAGTATTTGATTCAGTTTTTACATTAGTTGTGCAGTCATTCAAAAACAATAATTTAATGTCTCATGTTTTCAAGCTATACTTAATATTAAAATTCCTTAATAAATCAAAGCACAGAAATTCCTCTTTTTAATTACTTTGCATTATTCTTTAGTACATCTAATGCTTCATTCTATTGGCTATGATGCTACTGACATTTTACAATCTAAATGCTACATGACAACATGGCATGTGTGCAAATCCTGTGTTGTCATCTAGTAATAAAACTACAGCCAATTTTAAAAACATTTAAGGTTTTTTAAAAATTAAATGTTGTGAGAACATGGTTTGTGAGAAGATATAATTTGCTAAGCTGGCGTTTCAAAAACCTTACTAATATACAATTTATACTCTTAAGTCAGATTTACAACCAGTTGTACAAATTCATTCAATATTCTAGTCAAATGTAAGTTGAATTTTAATTAAGGTAGTGTTGGATTTTTAAATATTCTTGTAAAAGGAACAATAAAAGCATGTGTGTTTCAAATAGGAAATGACTCTTTTGGTTTGTTTTCATTTTCATTGGAAAGATTTTTATTCAGGGCAAATGATTATTTAAAAGACCTTATTTGTCAAAGTGCCACATGTCCAGATAAACATCAGAAAACTATTTTTAGTAAATCTCTGCAGTTTTTTGATGTTCTTTCCGTGTCTCTTGGGTAGGGAGGAACTTGTAATAAAGACAATATTTCCTAGATGACATATTTAAAATGTACTTCAGAAGACAAGGGTGTTAAACAATCTAGTTCTGTCCTCCAGGTGTGGTGCAGATATGAAGTCAATAGATTGAAGTCAATAAAAAGCTTTAAATATGCTATTTACAAAAACAGGAGAATGCAAGAGACTGAAGTATCAACACATAGTACTTGTTTTGGTAGTATTGCTTGAATGCTCCATACTTCTCAGGAAAATTCATAATTAGAGTCTTATCTCTCACTTTAATTGATTCTTAGTCTAGCGTGTAATTTAACAGAATGTTCTAACTGTATTCTGAGTCAAATTATTAGTTACCTAGTCACATAGTCTTTTGATATAGCAGTTAGAAGATATATACATCAGAGTCCCTTTGTACCACAGCCTTGTATAAATTATCAGCATTTTCTAGTTTCACTTGAAGGTATAGTCATAAAACTTTTTGCATTTGTCATTCTTTTATAGTTACATCCATGGCATTTTCTCCCTTAATTTTCATGATGAAAGATTTATCTAATTAAACTCATCTAAGCATTTCTTTTCTTCCTCCATTAAAAACATTTGTCTTTATAGGGTAGGCATTTCGGTGATAATTTGAAATGTGAACAATAAAAGCTTTCTCATCTTAAAACCAAAAAACCTTAAAAATGGTAGGAATGCTTGTCACCTTAAGTAGACTTTTCTTCATTTGATTATCATTCTTCAAACACATTTATTCCAGGAAAAGAATGTGATCGCAAAAGTGACTTTTTCACTGAAGGAGAAAACACTCATATACATGACGTGGGTGAAGTTTGGTCCATTTGTATTATATGACTGTATGCAATTTCATCATCAAAGTAGACAGTGAACTTTCATACTTAACCAACATTCTTTATTTTATCTTGAAAGCTAAGGATTTGTAATTCTTGCACAACTATGAAGTTTAAGTACTAATTTATCTCATTGATTTTACTATGAGCCATTAAATATAAAGATAGTACAATGAAGCAGCGCTCTAGCTTTTCATCGATTCCCTTAAACACTTTTTAGAGCAAAAGTGTAGGTTTATTATATTTTGGCCACCTGATGTGAAGAGCTGACTCATTGGAAAAGACCCTGATGTTGAAAAAGATTGAAGGCAGGAGGAGAACGGGGACGACAGGGGATGAGATGGTTAGATGGCATCACTGACTCAATGGCCATGGGTTTGGGTGAACTCCGGGAGTTAGTGGTGGACAGGGAGTCCTGGCGTGCTGCGGTTCATGGGGTCACAAAGAGTCGGACACGACTGAGCGACTGAACTGATAGCTGTATAGGGCTTCCCTAGTGGCTCAGATGGTAAAGAGTCCATCTGCCAATGCAGGAGACATGGGTTCGATCCCTGGGTAGGGAAGATCCCCTGCAGAAGGGAAAGGCTACCCACTCCAGTATTCCAGCCCAGAGAATTCCATGAACTGTATAGTCCCCGGGGTCATGAAGAGTCGGACACAACTGAGCGAAAAGACAGAATGCAGAATATGAGTACATATACACACAGGCACACACACTTGTATATGCAAGTCATGTATCAATTCTACTGTAAAGTTTGGTTTTGGTTTATACTTTTCTTAATTTAGCTTTATTAAATGCATTCCATATAGACATGTCTAATAAATCTTTGTTGGCATAAGGCCTCTCTTTAATATCACGATAGAATAAGGAATACCAGCCCTTCCCATTTTCTACCATAGGGTGTATCCCTATAGAGTGTGGTAAGAATTGAATCACCCTCTGATCTCAGCTGCATTAACTTTCATGTCACAGGACTGATAGAAACGTCTACCCACTTATAAAGAGGCATAACCTCCAGTGCCCCAGGTTCATTAGGGCTGTTTCCTAGCTAATTGCAGTGTCAGTTTCTTTTTGCTAGAGGTCTAACTTAACAAAAAGTGCCAGGCAATTTGTTCAGGAAAAGTTTTTAGCTAGCCAAGAGTATATGTGCCTGGGTTTTATATTTCCTTCTTCTTGTTTAAGAACTAACTTTCATAGTTATAATTTGGTAAGCAGCTATACTTTTATGTAAAAAAATTAAGGAGTGCCAGCTTGATGATTCCTTCTTGAATATTATTTACTACTTTCTACATAGTTCAAACAATAAGAATATAGTTCTCTTCATTTGGACAAGCCCAACGTATAACTGAGATACAGTATACTGTAGTATGAAAGTATAGTATTTTTGCTGAGCTGAAACTCATATTTTAGAATTGGCATTAGATTTATAAGCTCATCACCATCTCATAAGACTTAGTAGGTCAATTAAAATTTGGTATTTTTCTCTGTTTTGTTTTCATTCAGTTTATTCTGTAGAGTTAAGATTTCACCCTTGGCATTTAACATAAAGTTAAATTTTATATGGTTTGATAGGATTCATGGTTCTGTTTAGGGTAGAACTGGAAATAAGAATTTGGAAGAAATAAAATTAATGATCCATGAAGAAAGAAATATTGCATTTACATTTATAGTCATGTTCTAGAATGTGAGCTTTTCTAATAAAAATTTCATAGCTGGTTAGTGAAATTATAAAATAAACAAAGTTCATTTTAACTAATCCTAGATGGAATATTTCTACTAAAACACCACTCATTATGGGTCCAATCACCTGGGCTGTGTGACTAATACTTTGTGTAAGAGTTTTAGGGATCTCATAAATTATTAGAGATTTTTCTCTTCAGTATCCTATAGAAGAAAAAATCAATTTGTCATCATCTTAAATCCCATTCTTAAATTCTGTATATGATCAAGTTTCTCCACCCTCACAAGAAATGTTGCTAATATGTAATGAAATTTTGATATATCCATTTAGAATGAGTTCTAGGAACATATCTTTTTTACTATTAAATGAGATATATACCGTTTAAATACAAAGCATAATTCTTTTCACTAAAGTTATTTTATTAGTAACAAACTGTTTGAAATTCTTAAAATACAAGTTTATATAGTGCTAATTTGGTTCTTAAGGTCACAGTACCCTCACAGAGGTGGTAGTTCTTAAATACATCTTTGTTTTTAAGCAGTGCAAATATTACTATGAATCAGTTAGATGAACTGGCAGAAGAAGCCTATATTGTTAGCATTGTTAATATTATATTTATTTTCTTAAGCAGTAAAAGCCATTTATGTGCTGAGGTGATTTCTTTTATATGCCATAGTATGGTAAACATGAACTAGAGCAGGAGTTAGATTATCCATGGTCCATGTCTAGCTGTGTCATTTATTACCTGTGTAACCTTTAGGCTAGTCATTCAACCTCTCTGAGTCTTGGCATTTTTTTTTCCCTGCAAAATAGGAATGATTAAAAATTGCCCTATAAACATCAAAGAAAGTTTGGAAAGATCAGAAGATATACAGGAAGGATATTATTACTACTTTAAACCCTCTGCCATTTTACCACCCTAACACTTCCCAACATCCTTCTCCTTTAACCCTTTCTTTAGGGACGAAAAAGGAAACCTTCCTTGTGAAGACCTTAGAGGACATATGGTGGGCAAGCCAGTGCATAAGGGATCTGAATCACCAAATTCATTTCTGGATCAAGAATATCGAAAGAGGTTTAATATTGTTGAGGAAGATACTGTCTTGTATTGTTATGAATATGAAAAGGGAAGATCAAGTAGTCAAGGAAGACGAGAAAGCACCCCAACTTACGGTAAGAAGTCTTCTCTTACATTGATGAAGGAGTTTATGTCTGGTATGGGAATCTCAATTTTTTTCCCTAGACTTTTCGGTTGTGAAAATTACCTGAGAGCTTTTGAATCTTTTTAATTGATCTGTTTCTGTTGTGTGCTTCCAAGTGGAATCTCAACAATATAAGGCATGACATTAAAATTTATCCTAAATTTTCCAAAGGTAAGCAAGAATAATTGCCTTCCAAAGGCAGTATTTTAACTCAATGATACATAAAAACCTTTTTGAATCACATGTAATTTTTGTATGTCAGAGGTTGCCAAACTGAAGTCGTTCAAGAGGTTTTTTTTTTTCTTTTTTTAATCAATACTTAACTGTTAACTTACTTAAAATCAAATTTCTGTATTTCTCCGATTTTAAAAAATCTTTAGACGGACTTTTCTGGGTAAAATTTTCCTCTCAATTTTTGTTTTTTTATAAGAAGTGGGAAATTTTGAGTGAATTTTAAATAGAAAGAACATAATATATTTAAAGCAAAATGGGCCTAGAGTTAACCATGTCCCAGGATTTTTTTGTCTGACTCCTATTTTTCCATGCATGCCCAAGAAAGTAACCCAGAATTGATATAGTTTAGCTGAACCATTTGCAGATAAATTTGCCTAAAGTTAGAGTAGTAAGGTCTATGGTCCTCTTGCAAGAATGAATGGATTTAATTGGAATTCTGTACTCCTTGCTTTCCATTTTGGGAGAAGGGCAGGATCCCTGCTGATTAGTGCAGATTTGATCAGTAGAAGCTGAAGAGAAAGAAAGTTGTTTTTAACTTTCTCTTTCCACTTACCTGCCTTACTTGTTCACCATGACTATATGCCTCCCTCCTGTGGTCCCAAAAGATTGGTCATCATATACTTTATAACCGACACCCTATTTCCTTACAGCTTTTTGGTAATAATGAGTAATAATTAAGTATGGGAAATTTTTCCCAAAACAATCCTAAGTAATAGAACCCCACATATAGTGCTTTATATTATTCTCTGTACATGTGCTGTTTTTTCATGTGCTCCTCATTTATACTACCCTGGCGGCACTTATTTTGAACTGTCATAAATTGAAGGTATTTGCACCTTTGCTTTTCTCCACTATTATATTGTAAACTTCTGCAGTAAAACTCTGCCTGCCATCTTCATTATCCCCGCCCCTGCCTCATCACATGAGATTTTTATTTTTCTGCCTTCATTCCACAAGTACTTATTGACTACATATTATTAGATAGTTGTTCAGTTCAGTCACTCAGTCGTGTCCGACTCTTTGTGACTCCATGGACTACAACACGCCAGGCTTCCCTGTCCATCACCAACTCCTGGAGCTTGCTCAAACAAATGTATATCAACTCTTCTTTTTTTATGTCCCAGAATTTTCTGGCTGTTTTCTACTCGTATTGAAGTAGATAAGAATGTTTAAGGGGAAATTATAGTCACTAGATAAAGTTGAGTATTGACAGCTTTATGAAAAACAGTTTACCAAGGCCTTACTTAAATAGCTGTGAACTGTTAGTTCCTTCAGACTATGGTTTAAAGCACCTAGTGCTATCATGTTCCATAAATCATATCTCTTCCAATAAAATAGAATACCATTTAAATTTTAGAAAATGTAGATACCCTAGATACCTAAAGTGTTTTTATAAACAACTTAGGAGAAAATAAATGTATATATGCTTAAAAGAGGAATAAGGAAGTAATAACAAAAGTTCTTTTACTTTTGGATTTGAAAGTGTTTTTTTTTTTTTAATTTTGAACCTGAAGTATATCCTGAACTTTCACTTAGAGATACTTTAGAGATACCCCAGTAGAGATTTCCTGGCACAGCTGGAAAATTGTTGCATGTAACTGGCAGTTTAATGTATATTTACCTTTTTAAAATCAGATCTTAAGTAATAAAAGCTACTTGTCACATACATGAATTTCTGGCCATAACATTCCCAAAGAGTAATTTATTTGTTAATGCATTCAGCTAATATTTGTTGTGTGTATAAAGTCAGCCAGGCACTGGGGATGCAAAGATGAGTAAAACATAAATCTTCCCTGAAAGGCAGTCATAACCCAAAGGGAAAGAACAAAGAGACGCAGTACATCAGCAGCTTAGGTGAGGAGGGCAGTGAGCGAAGTGCGGCCGTAGCGTGGGAGCTGAGGTCCCAGTGTCTTCCTGGGAAGTCACATAAATATAAGTGACGTTTATGCCGTGTTTTAAATGATGAATAGTCATCATCCAAGGTTTCTCAATACTAGTTATCCCTATCAAATACTTGACACCCTTTCAAACCTAGTACTGAGGTCTGAGAGTTTATATAAATCTCCCAGCCCATCCCCTAAAGGCCCCAAGTATTAGTAACTTCAACCCTTAATAAGTAATCATTGATGACAACTTCATTTAACCTATAAAACGGTCCCATTATGTGGATCCCCAAGTGTGACAATATTCTCTTGGGTTTAAAAATAATGATAATTAAATGCTTGATCCTGCTGAAGTATATAACAAAAAAAACCCTGATTACCAAAAAAAAAAAGTTCACAATTTATATTTTCTGAAAATGAGAGTAATTTAACTTGTTAGCACTTGTGTAATACCTTAAAAGCATTGTAGAAGTCTTTTAGCCTTACAGTTCAACTTAGTTCTTCATTGCAAATATCCTATCTTCCAGTGTGTGGACTTAGCCACCATTGCTACCTATTAACTTCCCAGTTACCTGTTTACTCAAAGAGGTTCAGAGTTAAGATTATAACAGTCTAGATAGTGTTTTGAGAAGCAAAGGAGAAACATAATACAGTTTTTACTGTGTGCTTTTGTCTTCATTCATATTTTAAAGTTTGATATATAAGACAAAAATTAAAATTTACAGACACTCTGTTATTAGACTCAGTGACAAAGAAACAGATATGAAGAAAAATACTTGAAAATATCCTAATCATGTACTTTATTTATTTTTTTAAGACTGGAGGTTTATTAAATGCTTTATCATATTTGTTAACCAACTTCTCAGTTTATATCATGAACCCACTATTTGTGGGTAAGAGTGAATTAAAAGATCAGTTATTTGCCCTAAGCCATAAGATGAATACAGTATGGATAGAGAGTAGATGGCCTATTTAGAAAATAAGTAAATACCTGTTGAGCTTTTATGTATGCCTTTAAAAAGCATTGGGCTTACCTCATAGGTCAGTTGGTAGAGAATCTGCCTGCAAGGCAGGAGACCCCGGTTCAATTCCTGGGTTGGAAAGATCCGCTGGAGAAAGGATAGGCTACCCACTCCAGTATTCTTGGGCTTTCCTTGTGGCTCAGCTGGTAAAGAATTCATCTCCAGTGAGGGAGACCTGGGTTCAATCCCTGGATTGGGAAGATCCCCTGGAGAAGGGAAAGGCTAACCACTCCCGTATTCTGGCCTGGAGAATTCCATGGACTGTATAGTCCGTGGAGTCGCAAAGAGTCAGACACAATTAAGCTACTTTTACTTTCACTCTAAAAAGCATTAACCCATTTAATCCTCACAACCCTGAGAGGTAGATAACTAATAGAATCCTTACTTTATAAATGGGTTAAATATCTTACCCAGCTAGTAAGTGGTAGAACCTTGGTATTTGTTGACTCTATCAAATGTTATTAGCTAACTAAATAATGTGAAAATGTTTTGCTAAAATGTAGGAAAGTAGTTCAAAAAGGCAAAATGGTTGCCTGGGGAGGCCTTACAAATAGCTGAGAAAAGAAGAAAAGCTAAATGCATTTAAATGCAGAGTTCCCAAGAATAGCAAGGAGAGATAAAGTCTTCCTCAGTGATAATGCAAAGAAATAGAGGAAAACAAAAGAATGGGAAAGACTAGAGATCTCCTCAAGAAAATTTGAGATACCAAGGGAACATTTCATGCAAAGATGGGCACAATAAAGGACAGAAATGGTATGGACCTAACAGAAGCAGAAGATATTAAGAAGAGATGGCAAGAATACACAGAAGAACTATACAAAAAAGATAACCACAATAATCATGATGGTGTGATCACTCACCTAGAGCCAGACATCCTGGAATGCAAAGTCAAGTGGGCCTTAAGGCAGCATCACTATGAACAAAGCTAGTGGAGGTGATGGAATTCCAGTTGAGCTATTTCAAATCCTGAAAGATGATGCACTCAATATGCCAGCTGCACTCAATATGCCAGCAAATTTGGAAGACTCAGTGGTGGCCACAGGACTTGAAAAGGTCAGTTTTCATTTTAATCACAAAGAAAGGCATGCCAAAGAATGCTCAAACTACTGCACAATTGCACTCATCTCACACGCTAGCAAACTAATGCTCAAAATCCTCCAAGCCAGGCTTCAACAGTATGTGAACCGTGAACTTCCAGATGTTCAAGCTGGATTTAGAAAAGGCAGAGGAACCAGAGATGAAATTGCCAACATCTGTTGGGTCATCAGAAAAGCAAGAGAATACCAGAAAAACATCTACTTCTGCTTTATTGACTACGCCAAAGCATTTGACCATGTGGATCACAATAAACTGTGGAAAGTTCTTACAGAGATGGAAATACCAGACCACCTTACCTGCCTCCTGAGAAATCTATGTGCAGGGCAAGAAGCAACAGTTAGAACTGGACATGGAAAAACAGACTGGTTCCAGATTGGGATAGGAGTACATCAAGGCTGAATATTGTCACCCTGCTTATTTAACTTATATGCAGAGTACATCATGCGAAATGCCGGGCTGGATGAAGCACAAACTGGAATCAAGATTGCTGGGAGAAATATCCATGAACTCAGATATGCAGATGACACCACCCTTATGGCAGAAAGTGAAGAAGAACTAAAGAGCTTCTTGATTAAAGTGAAAGAAGAGAGTGAAAAAGTTGGCTTAAAACTCAATGTTCAAAAAACTAAGATCATGGCATGTGGTCCCATCACCTAATGGCCAATAGAAGGGGAAACAATGGAAACAGTGAAAGACTTTATTTTTGGGGGCTCCAAAATTACTACAGATGGTGA